AGATGGTATACATAAAGCACTTATCACAGTGCCTGGAACAGAGCATGTATTTAATAAACAGTAGTTAATAATGATAATAATAAAGAATACAATAGCAATAAAAGCAAAAACAGACCCTTCAAGATCTCCTGCTAGTTAGTGAGAGAGCTGGTTGATCTAATTCCAAAATCTGTACTTTTCACCATGTTAAGAAGTGGTATATACTCAACTGTCTGGCCTCTTCCACTTGGCAGAAACCACTATTTATACATCATTTATTTTTATTAAGAATAAGCAAAACAAAACTTTAATCAGTTATGTTTAACCTGTTCAGGGAAAACTATCTTGAACAATCAAAAAAAAAAAAAGATACAAATTTATAATTCATTAATACCTGTCTTTTACATTATATATTATACAATATACTTTAAAACATACTGCTGCTTAACATACTTGGAAATTTTATCTGAGTGATATGTGATACATATTTGAAAGAATATGGGCTAAATTGTTATGAAGATCAAAATAATATTGGCGTTGTTGAGTTTGTTTAAATGAATTTTTTTGTTTCTTTGTTTCCACATTTTTCCTTGAAGAGTTTATGGGATTCAAATCTCAAGAATTTACTTCGCTTTATTTTCAACATTAGAAGGAGAAAGAAAATTTCATTTCTAGCCAGTATAAAAATTCACTGTATATTTTTTCACCCTAAAAATACTTCCATTAGTAATTTTAAAATCAAAATCTTCTTTCTACTAAAATGCTTTAAATCATTCGTTGCAGAGAACTGGCGTATAGAATTAAACATTTGGGGGAAAATATTAACAGTAGTGGGAGACTTCTCCATAGTGGTTTTTTCAACTACTACAATATGACAACTGCATTCCAATGTGTCTTGTTATTTCTGTGAAATTGTACTTTTGGTTTTCTAAACAAAGCTGGACTTCTTGATAAAGCTGGGCTCAACACCTCAAATCCTTTAAACTACCTTTTTTGCCACAAAGCTTCCAATTATCTACCCATTTTGGAATGTCTCTTAGTAAATATAGAACCATATTAGTGAACACCCTCATTCTGCTAGAGAAAATGGACAGGCTACTCTCTATGCTGGTATAATAAAGACTTCTATCACAAAGAGTAAACAACTAAATGAGCAGCAATAAACTTAATTTGCACATTAGATATGCTTTTCCAAGTTCCGACATTTCAGTTGAAAATAATGCTGAGGCAATGAGGCCTATAATTGAACATCCAAAACTTCTCCAGTGGGGAAACAAAAACAAATGTTGCCTGCAAACAAGATCATTTTTATAGCCTGCTGTTACTCTGCTTTTTAATAATTTTCCAAATGCCAGATAAAATAATTTCCCCTTTTATGTGATTTTCATATACCTCTTAGTATATGTACACATCGTGATTTTAATCCAAGTCCTCCAAAATGAAGACACAAACTCTCCTTCCTTTTGATTTCCTGTTTGTGCCTATGGAACACGTCCTCAAATTACACTGGGCATCTTCCGAGTCTCTGGCAAGGCTGGTGCTAATTGCACTCCCAATGTTTGAATGGAAAATTGCTTCATCCTGCTGCATTAGCGAAATAGAAATTTCCGACATACAGTGCAGATAACTTCAGAATCCTCTTAATGTAGATAAGCCATATCAGCTTAAAACTAAGCTGGAAAATATCTTACACTTGTAACTATTATCTTTTTATGTGTTATCTAACAACAACTTTTCTTGCATGACTGAGGCTGATAAGTAAATTCAAAGAGAATGATTGTTTTATCAGCTTTACTGAAATTTCTCATTTGCTCCTTACCACTCTATTACCAGTAAGGTCACTATATGCTGATTTTGGTTTGAGAGATAAAATTATATTAGACTCTGTAATGATAATCAGATGAGCATTATAGTTGAGAAAATACACACACACACACACAAATATTAAATTATCTTAACAAACAGCCAAATGGCTACACTCATAATAGTGAAGAAAATGGTTGAATCAATGCATAGTACTATAATTCTTTCTCAGATTAAAGCTTCAGATTCGTAGATTGTAAAATAATTCCTTGGCAGTGATACCTTTTACATTTCTACATGAAAAGGAATTAGAGACAGTAGTTTAGTTAAGAGGATATGCTAATGATAGACTTATCTTAGAACTGTATTGGCACAGCAATCCCACAGTTTAATAAACATACATCACAGATCAATAATGTCACGTTTCTAAAGATGTTTTTATTTATACTGTAAACATTTTGTGTTCGTGTTATTTTTTAAATGTACATATTTGTGTTATTATGTATGTGTGTGTTTACTTATATTGCCTATTGTGGTTCTCAACAATGGCAAAGAAGTAAAAGATCACAAAATTCCCTTAAAATGAGATGTGGATATTTCATGAAGGTTAAAAATAATAAACACAATTTCCTTCCCGTTATTAGATATAAGTGAAAATAACTTGATATTTATGCATATTGAATAAGCACTTTTTGCATATGTAAATCATCCTCTGGTATTGTGATGAAAACACCAGAACAGTGTGTTCTCTCCATGAAGTCTTGGATTTTCACAAAGCTTTACATTTGCCCCCGCCCCAGCAGAGTAAGAAATTCTCTATTAGAAATAAATAGCTACAACACCCTAAAATAAGAGAAGTGACAGGATTTAGAAGTTTGTTATTTTCCTTCGATGCTTTTTATTACAAAGTATTCTAAGAAGCTTAAACCCTGAAAAACTGAAAACATTCAGATTTTAGAGCAAGGAATTCAGGATGGAATTTATCCCTGAGAAATAAGGAGTGTTAAGACAAGATCCTTTCACCATCAATAAATATTTATTGAACACCTATAGTTCTCAAGACTGTTCTAGGATTTGTGACATCTCTCCCTCATTTATGCTTCTTTTCTAGAGGAAGAGAAAGACAGAAAAAAAACTATAGATATAACAAATAAGTGAATTATATAGTTTGTAAGAAGATGAAAAGTACCACAGAAGAAGAAAGATTGAAAAAGATTAAGGTGACTAGAAATACAGATTGGGAAAATTTAATTTCAATAGTCCCAACAAAGAACACTAGAAATAAACAAAAGGCTATTTATTTATTTTTTAAACCAAGTAACTTTATTTAAACTAGTTTCTTACTTGTGGAGAAAATAGCGTACCTGGAGATTGTTTTATAAAATATCCCAGAATATAGATCAACTTGTTTCCATCCTAAGAACTAGGAACCTATCTAGCAAACACATTGCTATGACACATCTGAAACAACCAATAGCTATCTTGAGAACTAAGCACAGGCTAGCTGCTCCTGAGTTTCTCATATTTATTGTCTTCTCCTTCTGTTCCCCCCCCCCCCCGTTAATTACTAATAGTCAGTGTTATAGTGACAAAAGGCTTAAGAAACATTTGAGGAAGAGAAACCACTCATTCATCTCAATCTACTCATTAACTTTTTTTCTTAATCTCCGGGGTAAAAAGATCCCCATCATTGCAGGTTAGCAGCAAAACCATTGGTCCAGCTCGCTGATCACCAGTATTTTACAGAAACTTTCTTTGAGAAACTACATTTCTACAGCTGATATCTTCTATCCTTTATATTTCATATTTTAATTCCCCTGTACTTCCCCATACTTGGAAAAATTAACTGCAATGTCTTTTTATCTTCTGCCATACTTTAATTTTCTGCTGTAATAAAATGAGTGCATGCCACCTGCATCTTCCAATTTAAAGTGAAGTAATAAATCTTCTCTCTCTTTTTTTCTTAAAGGACATGTTATTTCTTCAAACATGAAGCATTTACACTTTTCAGTATATAGGTATTATCAAAAATTTTCTGGAGAAATGCCCTATCATTAAATATAGCCATAGCACATTCCTTGAAAATTAAGTCCATGTCTGTCTTAAAAATCAGATGACAATACAATCTTAAGGAATTGAAGTTTTTCGAAATATGCCACACGTTGGATTTTGACACGTTATATCAGTCAATTTTCCCCTGAGTATTTCAGACAATTGTCAGCATAATGTAATATGCTTGAAACAAAGTTGGCAGAAATATCTTCCAACAATAAAAGTGAGTGTTTATTTTCCTTGAGACATTTTAAGGGATAGTTGAAGTGTAGCTGTTCACTACTTTTTATTGGATATATTTATTTTTAATAGAATTGATGATAAAGCACCAATTGCTGAATTTAATCATTTGGGTTTAATTAGTTGCTCAAACCACTTTATCATGACAGTCATTTTTATCATCCGGGCAGTAATGAAATGATAAAAGTGACATGGCTTCCAGTAAACATACTAGTTTTATGAGCTGAGATTCAATAAAGTAGCAAAGATGGGGAATAGACACTTCCAGTACTAATTACATCCCTTGGTGATATATGTAGGTACATTTGGATTGAGTCTGAAGAATAGAGTATGCAGTTTTACCATCTCGAATTGTATGGGCTTATCTGTTTACTGTGATGGGAATATAATAATGACTCATATGGACACTAATATTTTAATTTTTTTCTCTTTGAAAAGAACTGCTTTTAAAGAGTATGCAAAAGAGACTGCATTTCACTAGTTATGTACTTAGAGTTACATAAATAAATGAACTGGTTATATACTTCACAGTCTTACGTCCAGGTAAAAATGTCATACAAAATGATAGTTTCTGAAGGAAATTTAACCAAGGAAAATATTATCCTCTAACTTTATCAAAATATGCATGGCCCCCTACACAAAGGCATTTATGAAAATTCAAATATTTTAGGTGTAGGTTTTAATTCTGTCTAATTACCCATATCCGCTAACAGCATTTCAACTGCCAAAGTATTCACGTCTACCATGCTATCTCACTGGCAAAGTGAACATGCTGTTAATGAATATGGGAACATAGCTCTTAAACAAATTGTGAAATCAAATATTTCACATATATTATATGATGCAGGTTTGACGGTGGGACAGAGGTCATGATATGCATACATATCTCTAATGTTCGTCAGACACAAATGAAGATAATAAAATACCTTTTACGACTAGGCTGCCAGTGTTCCTCGCAACACCAAACTGATTTGTAGCTATGCAAGTATATGATCCGGCATCTGACCTGGTAACGTTATATATCTTGAGGCTGCCATCCTCCAAGAGACTCACTCTAAAAAGAAAATATATAATTAAAGGAAGTAAGGCTCTTTAAAATTGATGTCTTAACCACTTATTTTCATTTTAAAACATTACTTAGACCATGGCTGTGTTTGATAATATGAATGTATTCCTTTCCTATTATTCTGTTCTTAATTGTGAGCACTCTCTGAATCCACATGTTAGAATAAATGGCATTTGCTTTTATTCTGATACAGCATCAATAATTATCATGCTATAACTTGAATTATCATTGTTGATTTCAACGCACATTAAAAACCAAATGAGTGCTTGATGCTACAATGGCCATTTGCTTGATTAATAACAAACGCAATTATTTATTGTGCATTTTGAAATGTCAATTCCCTGGTGAAAATTGAACTTGGCATTAGGGAAATACAAGCTAATTTTCACATTGTTTAGTCTGTGGCTTTATCAACCTGCTCTGATTTAGCACTTTCAGCCACCAAACAAAAGAGTTCTCGACTGACAATATTTGTCAGTGCTAATGAGTTGATGGAACCATCCGTATGGTTCCATAGCCAAAGGGGCCAGGTCCATCTTATATGGCCTATCCCATCACAAAGGAGAAGAGAGGAGAAGGAAAAATGAACACTTCATGAATCAGACTGAATTAAATGTTCCTAAAATAGGTACATTCATATAGTACACAATGGAAGGAGAACTATTTAAGAACTTCCAATTTTTCATCAAACAATCCCTGTTAAATTTTCTCTGAAACTCAGAAATAATCAAATGCAAACATCAGAATGTTGTTTTAATCAGGGGAAATATCAAGATTTTTTTTTTTACAAAATTACCGGCAAATGTTTTAATAAGGAGACAAAAAAAAGAGAAATTAAAGGCATGTACCCTATTTTATGTCTTATAAATTTAATTAAACACCTTTTAAAAACACAGCTCTAAAAACTAGTGGGTAGTCAGGATTGTACAAGAATATGTGATGAGAGGTAATTGGTAATGACGATAGTTTTAAAGGAAAGAAAGGCAAGACAATTGCCAAGCATGTCACATCCATTAACAATAACAAAACAGTATTTGTTTCTCAAATATATCACTGTTTCTAATATGCATATCATACAAAATGTAGCTAATATAATTAATTACCCAATTTGAAACACAGAGAATATCAGCCAACTGTAATTTGTATGAAACCAGCTGCTGGTGTTGGGTTTATTACTAGTGATGGGTTCCACATTCTGTCATCGTGAGTGCAAATGGCCACATCTGGGTTTAGAATGCTCCATGGCATGTAATCAGATTATTTTTTAAAGTCGTTATCTTGGAGTATTCCCCAACAGCAGATATTTGATATCTTATTTAATTTCCCAAATGTCTAGATTTCTTGATCCCAATTTACATTAACAATTTAATCATCCCATTATTGACACAGTAACAAAGCTATTCTAGTATGCAGCAAACTTCTGGCCAAATACAAATCTTTATCTGATTCTACTAGAAGAGGTCAACGTGCTGGAGAGGATGTGGAAAAAAGGGAACCTTTGTACGTTGCTGGTAGGAATGTAAATTGGTAAAGCCACTACAGAAAACAGTACAGAGATTCCTCAAAAAATTAGAACTAGAACTACCATATGATCCAGCTATTCTACTTCTGGGTATTTACCCAAAGAACACAAAAATACTAATTTGAAAAGATATATGCATCTTTGTACACATATCTTTATGCATTCAGCAGTATTCACAATAGTCAAGACTTGGAAACTACAAAAGTGCCCATCAAGAGATGAATGGATAAAGAAGCTGTGATATATACGGACAATGAAATACTACTTAGCCATAAAAAATAATGAAATCATGCCATGTGCAACGACATGAATGGAGCTTGAGGGTATTATGCTAAGTGAAATAAGTCAGGTGGAGAAAGACAAATACCATATGATTTCACCCATATGTGAAAGATAAACAAACAAATATACTGATACAGAGAACAGATGGGTGGTTACCAGAGGGGAAGGGAGATGAGAGAAAGGCAAAAGGGGTAAAGTGGCACATGACTATAGTGATGGATGGCAACTAGACTTTTGGTGGTGAATGTAATGCAGTCTATACAGATGTTGAAATATAATGATGTACACCTGAAATTTATATATGCTATAAACCAGTGTTACCTCAATTAAAAAAAAACAGAGGTCAATGTGAGAAGCATTTGGGTACATCATTTATCTTTAGAATTTAGGAATAACTAGGAATTTTCAGCAGCATAGAAACATTAAATTTTGACCAATAAAACATTTTAAATGATAAAAAATATATCTGCTAATATCTAAAGCCCATCAGGCAAATTTCCCAGCTAGTTATGCCAATGTTTATATGTCATATAATTTTTCACTTGAATTTCAGAAAAGCACAATTCATGTAAACGATGTTTTGGTATTACCCCGAGTCCACCACCCTTTTCAGGCTCATGGTATTTGTTCAGTAATGTTTGTTAAATTGAACTGAAATTGTCATCATTGAAACTGATGATTTCTTCTGAAATCTTAATCAATTCATCAGTATTTCTCAATTGCCTCTTACTTTTTGAGAGACTGAGAAGGCAAACTAAGACTAATAAAAGTTAAGATCTGCCCAAAACTAAACAGCTAATAAGTATCAGAGAATGAACTGAAAGCTATATCTGATTATCTCTAGCACTCAAGCTCTTTACAGTACTATCACTTAGCTCTAATTGCAGTAAACTAATTCTGCGCGTTAACTATAATGTTTAGGAAGTTTCTGAGTCATTGTTAGAGGCCCTTAAGACAGTCTTATGTTTTTGCTTCTCAAAATACGGTCTCATCTCAGACCTACTGAATCAAATTTTGCATTTTAACAAGATATCCATTGGTTGGTATGGACAGTAAAGTTTGAGAAGCATTGGTCAATTCATTATGAATCAAACTTTAGTCTGTAAAGATTGTCTTTATTTCTAAGTAACAACGTATTTTGTTTTCACAAGATCAATACACAAAAATGTATCAAAGAATAAAAAATGTTAGATTTGAATGTTTTATGAAAGTAACAAAACTGGTAATGAAACTGGTTTATCATTTATTAAAAATAGATGATTAATAAAATAATTCTCCCTATAGATCTATCATATGGAAGGCCAGAGATTTAATTATACTTAGAAATTTTACATCAGGATAAATAGCGTAAATATTTCAACTTATCATTTAATGTTTTTTTATTAATAAGAGGTGTTAAAATGTAGTAAGAAAACTTAATCTCTGACAATGTAGATGGAATCAAACCACCTAATCATAGCACTAATTTTATGTAGAATAATTAAACAAAAAATATTAAAGAAAAGTGTGAATTTCCAGTTCTGTCATATATCAAAACATGGCTTAGGAGAAATGATTAAAAAGAAAAAGAAAGAACACTCAACTAAGATCAAACTGTACAAAGCAATTGACATTTTCAGAAAGGAAGAATGCACATGTAAAAATTAACTGGAACATTTTAATTGATGATTTTGGTAACATTCATGGAGAAAGATAAAGACCGACTTTATCTTTCTTTTGGATAGTCTAAAAGATACTTTAAAATGGTTTCTGGAGGATTGAAAAGGACATATTAATAAAATATATTAAAAAATTCCATCTTTTTCTATGTAAGCTTCTCTAACATTTAAAAACAAAACAGCTGCATGTATAGATAAGCTTGGCTATCTGAAAAAAGTGAGAAAACATTCTGGTGATAAAAGTGAGATTTGCATGAATAATTAGCAAAAATAATATAGTTATAGGGAAGCAGAAGACCTTAAGTGACTGACGACATATAATATGTATATATATTTACATTAGGACTTAATGCTGAGATTATACTGCTAACAGACTATATATCATAAAAACAAAGACTGAAATATGTGAGCAACATGGAATAAGGTAAGGCTTCTAAAAATTCAATAGTAATTTAAATGCTAATTTAAATGACTGGAAATCGAGGAATGCTAAGGCTGTTTTTTCCTTCTAAATTTATTCAGCAAATATTTGCTAAATGCCTACTATGTTCAAGGTACTATGTTAGCTCTTACGATAGGGATGAGAGAAATAGAGACTATTAATATGAGGCGTCCTCTTTTCCGTGATAAAACTCATTGGTCAAAATATAAGCAGGTTACGAACTATTATTGCAAACTGACTCTGCACACATCTTCTGCTAAGTTTATAATAAATGTTAACTCATTGAATACTTAAGTCAAACCTCTAGGCTCTCTCTGTTGTCATCATCCCCATTTTACACGTCAGGAAACTGAGGCATAGAAAGAAGGAGTAATTTATTCAAGGTACCCACAAGGCGGCGTAGGGCCAAGATTCTAATCATGTCTTCCTCTTTGGAGCAGGAGGTACTTATTTTAGCAAGTGCTCTTTTACTTCAAGCTTCCAAAGCAGCATAGTTTACTAAGAGTGTAGTTACTAAGAGTACAAACGTGAGCATTATATATATATATATATATATGAAAGTATATATATACATATTTAAATTTTATTTGCGTAGGAAGACCCTTAATATTGGAGGTTCTTAATCTGACCTTTAGGGAGTCCAATGACTCCCTGAAATGAGATGAAACATTTGTGTTTGTGCACCGATGCACATTTTCCCGGGATTCTAAGCTTTTGTGAAATCTTAAAGGTGAGTCTGATATCCTCTACTATGGTAGAGTTTTAACCATAAATGTGAGGTAATGATGATGATATTAACACCAAGGATTATTTTTCTTCTTCTTTTGCTCCGTTCTAGGCAATAATGGTGCTATTGGTAGAGCTATTAGCAACTACGGAGTTTGAGGTCAACTGCTTGTGACTGAATCTGAGCCTCAACATTTAATATTTGTATGACTGGGGCCAAGTTACTCAACAGTCCAAGTTCTTAGCTTTCTCTTCTGTAACATGGGGATATTAATATTACCTGTGTCACAGAGTCATGTGGAGTAAATGATATAAACTGTTTAAAGTGCTCAGCACTGTGCCTGGCTAACAGTTAGCA